AAAATCACATGCGGTGTGCTGATGTCTTCGCCTGCCTCAGTTCAGCTCTCTGGCTTCGCTTTGTGTGGCCTTCACAAACTGTAGCTTCTCTGCGAGGAGAGAATGTAATTCAATCGAGTTGGGAAGAGCACTGAATCCCCTCCAGCGCCAATACACTGAGGGGCAGGCGGCCTGGGGCTTAGGCCAAGTGGGTGACCGTGGGCAAGTCCCTTTCCCTGAGTCTAAGAGTCGCCATCTATAATAGAGGCAAGAAAATGATCCAATGCTCCTTACCTCACCCTGAACCTTTCTGCGCCTCTGTTTCCTCACTTAGAAAATGTCAGGGCCTTCTCTGTTTTAAAGCTGTGAATCTGTGAGCTTTTTGCTCTGGTGTGGGGAGGGAGGGAAGGATGTCAGGAACCAGACGGGTGTGCTAGAGGAAGGGCCAGAGGTGTGGCCAGTGGGCCTCCTCCAGTGTGAGCGGACCTGCTGCAGGCCTGTGGAGCTTCATGTGGAACTCTCAGACACCTTTGTGTCCAGCTTCCTTAGCATTGTGAGGACTTTGCCTTCCTCTTTGTTTGGATGGGATAGTCTGGGCTAGCTGGATGCTTGCTGCCCACCCCCACTCAGTCCTCCTGGACCTTGCTAATATCCAGGTACCGTTCTGCCACCAGCATGCACGGGCTCCAGGGCTCCTCCTGTGAGCTGGGGGCAGGGGCAGGTGGGAAAGGAGCGGCTGGAGGACGGCCTTCTCACCAACTTTGGTCGGCCTCCCGATTTTGCCAAACACTAGCCCTGGCTGATTGTTCCTTCCAGAAGGTATTGGGGATGTCATGGAGCAGCTATTGAAAAGCGGAAGTGAGCCGGCAAGGCCGTGCCCAGTGTAGCTTCCTCCAGGCTCCCCTTTGAGCTTACTGATGGCTGATTCTATGCTCGCATTCTTGGGGCATGTGTGTGTGTGTGTGCGCGTGTGTGTGTTTGCTTTGGTGCTGTGGGTTGGCAAACAGCAGCAGCTGAAGTCAAGTTGGCTTGTCTGCTGCAATCCAGGGCCGTGCATTGGCTAGCTGGCCCTATCATGCACCAACATGAAACTTGGCTGCCACTGTGGGGTGGGGAAAACATCTGTGATTTCAGAGTGGCCGAGCCCAAGTGCGCCAAGTTAGGGTGATGTGTGCTGGGAACACAGTGGGAAAATCTGGGAGACTCACCTGCAGGAACTTGGGAGCTCGATCACCAAATGATGGGAGGCAAGAGCTGCTCTTAGTTCTAGCCTCCAGGGTCAGGCAGCACCGGGCCCCTCTTCCACAAGTCAGCCCGTTGCATCCTTAATGTCCTCTGGGTGAACCATCTCCAAATCCTTTGACCAATCCGGACATGACATGACCTCATCACATTTAGCTTTGGAAAGAGCACCCCAAAGACAGCCTCTCCCTGGAGAAGCAGGAGCACCATTGAACTGAGCCTCCTTGTAACACTGGAGGATCTGCCCTTGGGGCCGCACAGAATATGTTTTTGTCACTATAACTGACTTGAACATGTCAAAGACAGGCCATTTCATTGGTGGCGACTCCCCCGGGGATGCTGATCTCGGCCTCTTTCTGGCTTAGTGACTGGTCTCTGAGAGTCTCCATGACTGAAAGCTTCCCTACTCTGGCCAACCCCCTGTTGCCACCGCGGACTTAGGGAGGTTGATGCTCAGTCACCAAGCAGCCAGCCCACGGCTGGGGGCCCAAACTCAAAGTCTCTTGAGCCAGAGTGTCAGAAACTCAAGGAAAACTCCAGGTCACAAGGAGGCCTGAGAACGGGACTTGTGTCAAGCTCTTGGGAAGGAGGCCACTGAGCAGGTGTCCTATCAGTGCCGAGGGCTCCATGACTCTTAGGCCGCCTGCTTCCTCAGTGTGCCTGGCAGAGCATGTTTGAGGGGACAGCAGTTGGCTCACGTCGCTGACCCAGGCTGCTTGCTGGCCTGGCTGCGGATCGAGCCCCTCATCTTCACTTCATTAACACGTGCCGTGTAGCTCACTGGCCACAGAGGTCCAGAGGATGTAGGCCGTACCTGCTGAGATTTCCTTAGGGCAGCTTGGACCGAAGTGTGTCTTTGCATTGGGCAGGTCCTCTCTGACGGCTTTATGGAAAGCCGTGGGCGAGAAATGCCCGAGATGGGAAGCACGGTGGGGATGTTCTGCATTCTTCCTGGAAGCACTGAAGAGAGTAGCCCAGCTGGTGAGGTCCCAGGACCTCGGAGCCAGAGAATCCAAGGGCTGGAGGGGAGCTACAAGGTGAAGCCATGTTGGCCAGCCTGGCCAGGAGCTGCTTCTGGAACTTCCAGTGGGAGTTTGACTCGTACTGGAGATGACCGGGAAGGGCCACCCCCACCTCCCAAAGCACCCAATGCCCCCCCATCACTCCTACTTCCGTCCTTGGGGACCAACCAGAACGGGCCTGATCCCCCTTCCCAAAGAGAAGTCTTCCATATCTGGGGGCAAGATCATATCTTCTTCCCTGCCCCAAATCTTCTCTTCTCCACGTTGAACAACCCCTAGTTCCTTGAGCTGGCCTTTATACAGCAAACTTTCTGTCCAGTCCTCGTCATGCTGGTCACTGTTTTACGGCTCCAACCAGGCCTGTGTCTGTGTCTATGCTGTGGCACCCAGTACTGGGCATGGGGCCTCACTGTATTACTAAGACATCCAGAGCAATGTCTTCCCTTGTGGCCCTTGGCCACGTCATGTTGCTTCGACTTGATCTGAGCCTGGGTTCATGGCATGAGATAAGCTAGCATAGAAAGCCCATTCTTTAAGGGGCGTCACTGTCTCAATGTTCCAGATGTGGGACTGACTTGAAACAATTGGAGGGTGGTCGCATCTCCAGGAAGAGGGCTTGAATAAGCAGCTAAGGGCACGGTCTTGGCCAACTCTTGGACTCCCTGAAACTTCTGGGTGAATGCAGTGGAGAGAGGAGATGCCAAAGGAGAAGGCAGCCCTCCCTCTGCCAACTGGGCCCTGAGCCCTTGCTCTCGAGTGCTTGGCATCATAGCCAAGATGGTGGAGACATGTCCCTTTGTCACAAGCTGAAGTCATCCTCAATGGCTGAAGGACCTGGAGAGAGAAGGATGGGATGGGTGGGACACACCTATGTGACTCTTATCTCATTCTCCCTAGGAGCCCTACCCAACATGCTGAGGGCAGCAGATGGTCATCTGTGTGCACACGCATGTATACATAGATATGTGGGCATACACTGTGTGCATGTGCGATATAAAGTGATATCCTGTCTGTATAGACACATGTGTATAGATGGATGCAGGCACATGCATGTATAGTATGTATATGCTATATAGCTATACTCCATGTGTATATATACATATACACACATATCTTTGGATATGTGCATATGTATAGTGTATGTATGATATATGTCCATATATTACATATATATATTTCTATGTGTAGCATGTAGTACATGCATATGTGTGTATCTATGTGTAGGTTGATATGCTCTGCTATACAGAGTCGGTAAAGCAGTGCCTAAGGTCATGTGCTTTCTAGGGGGCTGTGCAGCCCTCAGGGCCGGGGTTAAGTGGGTGCCATTTCCACAGGCGCCTGGTCAGCTGGTGCTGGACAGTGGCCCCCCACTCTTGCTATCCTTGGAGGAGGCCCGAAGGCTCCCCTGCATCCAGGGCCCCCTCCCATCCCCTACCCCAGGCAGCACTCAGCATCATGAACAGCCTTGCCCGCTCTCGGGGTAACCAGGGCAATGCCACCCTAGGCCTCCTCATTCTGGCCAGGGATCCCACAGAGATCCCAGCTCCAGGCGGCAGCAACAGCAGCAGCAGCTGGCAGAACAGAGTCAGCCACCACCATTGGGAGCCTGTGCCCAGCTAGCTGGGGGTCCAGTGTTGTCTGTCCGAGGAGATGGCCGCAGATTTGGTGCCTAGGATAACCGGACATTTGGCCCCCATTGGCTTGGAGGACCTGTCAGGGCAGCTTCTTTGCCTGGTGGGCCTCCTGCTTCAAGACAGGTGAGCCAAGGGGCAGCTAGGTGGCCAAGTGGATAAAGCACTGGCCCTGAAGTCAGGATGACCTGAGTTCAAATCTGCCTCAGACCAAACACTTGACATTTACTAGCTGTGTGACCCTGGACAAGTCACTTAACCCCAATTGCCTAAAAAAAAAAAAAGAAATAAGACAGGTGATCCTGGTCCTTGGCATCCCAGGCTGCAGAAGGCAACAGTACTAGCAGCTGTGTGCATTCAGACACACACACACACACACACTCTCTCTCTCTCTCTCTCTCTCTCTCTCTCTCTCTCTCTCTCTCTCTCTTTCTCTGTCTCTGACTCACCTGTCTTTGTTTCTCTCTCTCTCTCTTTCTCTCTGACTCGCCTGTCTCTGTTTTTCTCTCTCTCTCAGTTTCTCTCTCTCTGACTCGCCTGTCTCTGTTTCTCTTTCTCTCTCTCTCAGTTTCTCTCTCTCTGATTTGCCTGTCTCTCTCTATCTATCTCTCTCTCTCTCTGACTCGCCTGTCTCTGTTTCTCTCTCTCTCTCTGTTTCTCTCTCTCTGACTCGCCTGCCTCTCTTTCTCTCTCTCTGACTTGCCTGTCTCTGTTTCTCTCTCTTTCTCTCTCTCTCTCTCTCTCTCTCTCTCTCTCTCTCTCTCTCTCTCTCTCTCTCTCTGACTCGCCTGTCTCTCTCTCTCTCTCTCTCTCTCTCTCTCTCTCTCTCTCTCTCTCTCTCTCTCTCTCTCTCTGTTTCTCTCTGACTCGCCTGTCTATCTTTCTTTCTCTCTCTCTCTTAGTTTCTGTCTCTCTGACTCGCCTGTCTCTGTTTCTTTCTCTCTCTCTGTTTCTTTCTCTTAGTTTCTCTGTTAGTTTCTCTCTCTCTCTCTCTCTCTCTCTCTCTCTCTCTCTCTCTCTCTCTCTCTCTCTCTCTCACACACACACACACACACACACACACACACACACACACACACACACACACACACACCTGGATTCCTGGGGATTAGCAGCAGGCAGCCTGAAGAGCTCAGTCAGTCCCCTCCACTGTGGCTCGGGCTCCCCAGCTCTCCCACCCTGGGCCCCCCCCTCCCCAAGCCTTCCTTTTCCTTTGTAGATTTGACCTGAAACGTTCCCAGGGAAGGAGGTGGCAGGCTAGCAAGAAGGCAGGTGGCAGCAGGGGGTGGTGAGCATTAGTGGCCCCCTACAAACTGGCCCTGCCAGTGGCCCGGGCAGCAGCAGCAGCAACAGCAGCAGTGGAGGTGGGGCACTGTTTGCCCAGCTCCAAGCAGTCACCATGGCCCGAGCACCTGGGGCAAGCCCAGCCCACTGGGAGGACAGCAAGGGGGCCGGCAGGACCTTAGGGGATCAGCGGCCCTCCCTCGCTCAGGTAAGCAGCTCCCAACTGCCCTTGGGGCACACCCAAGGCCAGGCCAGGGGAGGGGGGCAGGCAGAAGCCGGTGTCCTGGGGCAGGGGCCTCTACCACAGACAACGCAGGTCTCCTTCCACCGAAGTCAAGCTTGAAGAACAGTTTCATTGTCTGGTTTCTAAATAGAGAGGAGCCTGGGAGTGAGGACGAAGGGGGCCCAGCCTCAGAGCCCTGCTAGCCCTGGTGTCTGATTCAGGGCCCTTGGGGGCCAGGTCTGGCAGCCTGGCCAGCCTGGGGGCTTCCTCCTGGGGCTGGAAAGTCAAAAAGAAAGAAAGGCCACTGAGCCAGAGACCCAGATTCCCTTTGTCAAGGGCAAAGATGGGCATTGGCTTTGGGGTTCTTCACTCCTTGCCCCCCCACTCCTTTCTCTCTTTCTGTGTCTCTCTGTGTCTGGCTCACGTGTATGTGTTTTCTGGGAGCACTCATTTCTCCTGGCAGTGAGGAAGATTCCTTAGGAAGAGCTAACACCTGCGGCTTCAGAGAAATGATTCATGCCAGAGAACTTGGGACCTCATGGGAAAGCCCACAGTGCTCAGGGCAGAGTGCAGGCTCTTCTCAGCCCCCAGTCCACAAGGAAGTATGACACTAGTTCAGTTTACTGTGGAGGCTGTCTGCGAGGTCACAGCCTTCTGACCAGAGATGTTGGAGGAAGCTGGGGTGGGAGAGTTTGGGTGGGAGGCCAAGACCTAATGCCAGCTGCCTCCAGGTCTGGGCTGTACTGGGCAGGCATGTGGAGCCCCCAGCGGCTCCCATCAGCCTGGTAGAGCTGGTAGCTGGCTAATAATTAACCTTGTGGGCTTGTTTTCCACCCAGACAGAAACTCTCATCTGTGCTGCATGTGCGTGGTGGGTTGATGGCACAGGGGACCGGCAGGGTCACTTAAGAGACTCTCAGAACAATGAGTGTCTCCTGAGCTTTGTCAGAGGCCCTTGGGAGTTTGGTTCAGGGCCTCGGGTTAGTGGGTGACCTTCACAATCTGTACATTTGTGGTGACCCCAGGAAGGAGTCACCCCATGAGAATTAAGTCTGCCCTTGCCACCATCCACTGGAGCCTCATAAGAACCCTCTGAGGTAGGGACTGAGGTATTGTGTGTTGTGTGGAATGGAAGGTGTGTCTTGTATCATTAATGCTCAATCCACTAGGCATCACTTATGAGGAGGCCAACCGAGGCATAATACTGATAAAAGAAAGTGGGCCAGCCATTTTCCATTCCACACTTGGTCGTGGTCCTGGGACAAGGATGGCCGTCCAAGCCCACAACCTGAAAGCCGGGCAGAAAAGCTTCCGCTGCTTTCTCTGCCATTCTGAGCTTCTCATGAACCATTTGGAGGATATCTGGTCTCCTTTATGAATTGTCTGTTCGTGACCACGACCATGCGCCATCTTGTTTCTCCCTGGAAAGAAAGGCATGTGTCATAAATGGTTCTATGGTAACCTGAAAGGAGGTCTCTAGTGGAGTGCCCTAGGGATCTGTGCTCACCCCTTTTGAGTAGTGCCTCGAATGCACCAAGCTAGGGAGGCTGGATAACATGAGGACCCTGAAATACTTCACCTGCTTCAAACATCAGGCTGAATGCTATGGTTTGAAATGGAACTGAGATAGATGAGAAGTCATACACTTTGGTTACCAATATCAACTTCACAAGTACAAGACAGGAGAAAGGGAAGAAAAAAAACAGACTCCAAATTGGGGCTGGTCAAATGGGTAGTGTGGCCCCCATGAGGGAGTTAGGGCAGATCACATGGTAACAGAGTATCCAGGAATGAGGCCAGGACAGCCCCATGTCCTTAAGACTGCTTAGCCCGCAGCCGGAATCTTGGGACTGCAAGAAGGACATTGGTAGGAGCAGCTAGGTGGCACAGTGGATAGAGCACCGGCCCTGAAGTCAGGAGTACCTGAGTTCAAATCTGGCCTCAGACCAAACACTTGACACTTACTGGCTGTGTGACCCTGGGCAAGTCACTTAACCCCAATTGCCTTAAAAAAAAAAAAGGATATTAGTGGCAGGAGAGTATCTAAAGGAGGGTGAAGGCTCTGGAATCCATGTCACGGGAGGCCATAGAACTGGAAGGGTCATCGAAGGCCATCAAATCCCCATACACACACACACACACACACACATGCACACACACACATTTGACAGGGGAAGAAACTGAGGCAGCCTAGAGAGAAAGGGGCTTGACCAGATTTCTACACCCAGTGTCCACAACTGAAGACCTGAACCCAGGCCCTGCCACTCTCAATCCAACAGTATCTGCCGCATCACACTGCCTCACATGTGGAGCCAGATAAATGTTTGTTAAATGTTGAAAATTAGGAATGTTCAGAGGACCTGGGGGCCTTTAGCCTGGAGAAGAGCAGGCTCAGCTGGGGGCCCTGATGGCTAGCTCCAAGTACCCCAAAGGGCAGTCCTGTGGCTGAGGGCTTAGGCACAAGAGGGCAGAATCAGGGGGAGCCAAGGAGGCGAAGTGACCAGAGGGCAGACTTAGGTGGGATGTTGGGGCAAGCTGCTCGCAGGGACCCCCATGCCAGAGTGGAAGGGGCCAGGTCATGTGTGCTGGGGGTGTGTGGGGGTGGGGAGGGGGTGGAGGAGAGAAGGCTTGAGATCCACTGTGTCAACATGGGGATTCTCACGTGGGGCCTGGGTAGCTGGGGGAGCAGGCCTCTGAGGCCTCTGAAAGCTCTGACCTCAGGCAGCCTCTGGCTTCATTCTGGTCACTGCTGTCTGCTAAGGGGCTGTCTTCCTGGACCAAGCCAGACCCCAGAAGTATGCCCAGCAGGGCATTACTGAGGAGGGGAAACTACCCCGCCCCCACCCCACCCCGCACTGGCAGCCTAGGGACAGCATGTGAGTTCTCATCGGTAGCAGCTTCGTTCTGCTATGAAGCCCAGATAGGACTCCCTAGGGCTGCCCCAGATCTGCCGTCTGAGGCCAAGCAGAACAAATTTAAACCCTCTTCTACATGAGAATCCACCAAATATCTGAAAAATAGCTCTGAGCCCCACAGAGTTGTCTTCTCCAGGCTAAACAATCTCATTTCCTTCACCCTTTCTTCCTCAGCCCGGCCCCCTCCTCTGGAAGTATGCCATCTTGTCATCCTTCTCCTTAAACTGGGGGGCTGGGCACTGAGCAGAGCGTGCCAACTGCTGGCGCCCCCCCTCCTGGAGGCCATCGCCATGCCTTCCCCAGACTTCAGTGGCAGACGAGCCCTGGCCTTCGGTCCTTTCTGATTCCTTGTCTGAAGGCCCTGGCCCCTCCCGTGTCCTCATGTTCACCAGGAAAAGGAGGCTCCTTTTGGCTTGTAGGAGAGGGTGTGAAGCCCTTGGCTTGGCGCTGGTCACTGTCACTACCATCACCAGTCTCCTAGCTGGCAGTCCTGCTGGAGCTCATGGAACCACCCCCCCCGAAACCTAGAACTCCTTTGAGGCAGTCCCAGTTCTGCTGCTTCTTACATGTGTGACCTTAGGCAAGTCACTGAAAATGAGAGGCTTGGACTCATTGGCCTCAAAGCATCTTTTCCAGTTCTCGATCTGTGACTGGTCACAGCCTTCTGTTACAGAGGTTCCAAAGGGTCATTTAGCAGGAAGTAGAAGAGGCAGAGTCCTGACTCCGTGGCCAGTGGCTGCTGCCCATTCATGCCCTGGGCCAGTGAGACGGTGCCCTGTGGGCAGTGGGGCCTTTTCCAGCTCTTGGGCCTTAAGCTTTAGCTGGTTTGTGACACTGCTCGCCTGGCTGCCTGTCTGTCTGTCCGTCTGTCTCCCTACTAGCCTTTTCCCCTGGCTCCTCTTACTTAGGTACCCAGCTCTTTCTGCACATTTTGAATGCCATCATCAAGGGGAGATTCTTCTTTGGGACCAGCGAGCAAAGATATTTCTTGTTAGCTGTCCCTCCATCTACCATTGGGCTGCAGGGACTCTGTGGAGGGGTTGCCAGCCACAAGACCTAGGGAGTGACCCCAGGGGAGGTGTGGCAGCCCTGTGGCCTGTCGTCTGCAGTCAGGACTCGAGTTCTCTTGGCTTCGGAGCTGGCATCTCACTGGAGCCTGTGGAAGAGTCAGCTAAGGCCCAGTGATGTTGGCTTGCCCCAGATCACAGAGGCAGGCCTTCTGATTGTGAAGGAATGAATGAGACAACGAAAAGGGATTTAGGAAATGCTTACTATTTGCCAGGAACTGCTAGAAACAGAAAGTGGAGCCGTGCCCTGCTGTCTCCAAGCTCCCATGCTGACAGTGGGAGTCAGCCCAGGGGAAGGGCAGATGGAAAGGCAGGCCCCCGTGGTCCATAGGGGGCAGCATTATGTGGGGGGGGGGAGGTGCTGGTCATAGCCCTTCTTCTCACAGCTCATTTCCCCTGAGAAAACCAGAGCAGCTTCTGTTGTCCAGCCCCAAGGACTTTGGCAGAGGCCACCCATCTTTGGCAAACCTTTGGTAGCTGCTAGAGGCTGGAGCCCCTGCAGAGGCTGCCAACTCAGACAGAGGGTCAGAGGGTGGGTTTGGGGCTGCTGTCGACCTTGGAGGGCAGAGAGGCTGAGCCCTCCATTTTATAGAGGGGAAAACTGAGGCTTAGAAAGGCAGGGTGAGGGGACGGGACTTGCTCAAGGCCATACAGCTGGTCTGTAACTGAGTACAGATTTGAACCGTGGGCTGCTGACTCCCAAAGTAGCACTCTTTCCTCTACCCTCTGTAGCTTCCCCAGGGTACCCCAAGATGGAGCCTGGCCTTGCTCTCCCAGCAACCTCCAAAGGATTCTCTGGCTTTCAGGGGCATGGGGTCCCTGGGTAGGAAAAGGGCTGCAGATGCTGTGGGGCCACAGGCTGAGGAGCAGCATTTCAACTTGGCCACTGGACTGTTCTTGACGACCTGGTCTAAGCCATGATCGTATGCGCCGGCCAGCCCCTCCCCCCACCCCACCCCCAGCCTTCTTCCAAGAGAAGGTGGGTAGCTGGCCACTCCTGAGGA